TTTTCCTGGTTTGAAGGTTTAGGGTCATGGCTTCGTGGGTCTATCCAGTCAATTAGCCTAATATTGTTTTTAGAGGTTCTATTCTACTTCCTAGTTCTGTGAGTAGTGTCTGGGGTTTTAAAAGCTTTCTGGCAGCCACCCAAAATACAATGATTGGTCTCCATTCGCCTGGAACAACTGAGGAGGAAAAAGACCCAGGAATCAGAGGAGGAAATGGACTGCAGATTTAATTGCCTCCGTAAACTACTACCTCCATTACCATGAGACAAGAAGAAATGGATGGTGCGTGGCTCCCATTTCTGAACATTTTGATCAAGGACCCAATAGATGAATCTTGATCTAAAGGAGGAAAAATGTGGAACAGAACTTCAAACTCATATGAAAACAAGACTTACTGGATCCATTGAGACTGGGGGAACTCCTGAATCTAATGCCCAGAAATAAACTTTAAACCTTGAACCAAAACTATCATATAAAGCCATCATTAAACTAAATGACAGTGTAGCCCAGTTAACAATATTTGCCTCAAGTATACCACTCTTATAAAGAATTGTCTATATGAGTTTAACCTGACTGCATTAATCTAAAACACAGATGAGAACTTTGAGGGGCAGGGAGTCTAAATTAATGGTGATGAAACAATATGGGTAGAGATTGTGAGAATGATGACAAGAATATAAAGTTTGTAACCAATGTTATTGAACGGTGCATATACAAATTGTGAATGGATGTGTGTTTGGTTGTACATATTGCCACCAAAAATGAATAAAATATTTAAAAAAATCTATCAGCTATTTAAGATTTGGTTCATTTCTGTACTCTATTCTGTTCCATTCATGTATATGTCTATCCTTATGAAAATATCACACTATCTTTGTTACTCTAGCATTGAATAGGTCCAAGTCAGGTAGCATGGATTGTCCAATTTATTTGTCTTTTGAAGATTATTTTGGGCATTCTATGTCATGGCATTTTCATGTAAGTCCTAGAAGGAGTTCTTAATTTCAATATACAAAGAAATCTGCTGGTGTTATGATTGGTAATTGCTCTGAATCTATAAATCAGTTTGAGAAAAATTGGTACCTTAAATATGTTGAGTTTTCCAATCTATGAATATGATATATCTCTTCATTTATTTAGGTTTCCTTTAATTTCTCTCATCAATATTTTGTAGTTTTCAGAGTAGATATCTTTCACATTTTTAAAGATTATTTCTAAGTACTTTTTGTTTTTTAATGTTTTTTTAAATCAGGTTATAAAATTTCATTTTCCAGTTTGCTGCTATATATAAAAGTAAAATTAATTTCTTGTGCTGACCTTATATCCTGCAACTTTATAAAATTTTCTTATTAGAATTTTGTATATAGACATGTCATTTTGGGTAGGGACAGATTTACTTTGTCTTTCCGATCTTTATGCTTTTTTATTTCTTTTTTCTTGAATTATTGCATTGGTCAGGACTTCCAGTACAATAAACAAAAATTTTGCCTTATTTTTGATCTTAAGGTAAAAGCTATCAATATCATTATTTATGATATTAGCTATAGATTTTATGGTGCTGCGCTTTATCAGCTTGAGGAAATCCCCTTCTATTACTAATTTGCTGAATGCCTTTTTAAAAAATCATGAATGCGTGTTAACTTTTGTAAACTGCTTTTTCTGTGTATACTGAGATGGTTTTTCTCATTTTATTTTCTGTTAATATGATGAATTATATCAAGGGCTATTTTCAAAGAACCAGCTTTTGGCTTTGTTAATTATCTGTATTGTTTGTTTTCTATTTTGTAGTTTTTTATTCTTCTCCATTTTCTTTATTCTATTGCTTTTGTTTTAATTTTCTCATCCATTATAAGATTTCTAAGGTAGAAATTTAATTTTTTTTATTTCAAATTTTTCTCATTTTCTAATATAAGCATTTAAAATCATAAAATTCTCTTTAACTCACTGTTTTACTTACATTCCATGAATTTTGATAAGTTGTATATTTCTTATTATTCATTAGAAATAATGTCTAATTTTTCTAGTTATTTCTTTTACTCATCAAATCATACCATGTTGGCAATTGTGTTCATTGGTTACATGTAAGACTTTGGGTATCTGTTTCATGACCTGTCTTGGAGTGAAGTTTTCTTAAATAAAAGAAAAAAACTCACCTTCCATTTTAACTTTATAAATGAGGATTATTTCAAAACAAAACAAAAACAATCACATAATTGTATCTATTATTACAGAAGTAGTAAGTGTCCTGGAAGAGGAAATAATCTTGGAGTTATGACCAAATATGCCACATTTTTTCTTATAATACATTTTCTGGAAATTTCTACACTTAAGATTGAGTTAGATGGGGAATTATGTCAGTAAATGTACCTATAACAACTCCTGAGAAAGTGAAAGCCATAAAATTCAGATCAGATGCATTTTCAATTTAGAGCAAAATTACACTCCTCCTCTCCACTTTCACCCATCTTTAGTAATTGATTTGACCTCTGGAAGAGGTACGAGGAGTGCCTATATGCTATTTTCCACTTCTTTTTAGCTGCTTGCCATCTCTTCACCTTCATGACCAAAGTCTTCTGGATGATCCCTATAACTACTGACAATCATGGAAGACTGTCTTGGAGAAGTCACGAAGAGAATTAAAAACACATTTCCTCCTCAACTTTGGAGGTGAAGTAGGGAGAAAAATGAAATATGTGTATATATATTCCATAGTTAATATTTTTGAACAGAAAAGGCATACTTTCATAAAATACAACAGAAAAAAGGAACAAGGTTAAACAAAGTCCTATAAAAATATAAAAAGTGATTATACTTACTGATAGTGAATGAACTGGAAATCAGTTTATATAATTTCAATAACCTGAAACGTTTAAATATCATATATACCAATGCTTTATTTTCAGAATTTTATCTGAAGAAAAAAACTCCAGATGAAAACTAAGGACATTAGTTTATGTCTGTGTCACTCAGGTTGAAACTTAGAATTCCCACGCTGTGCTGAATGACAGGGTGAAGACCAGAATCTGAAGAATGGTTTGTTTTTTTACTGCTATGCAGCTATTTGCCAAATTTCTACTCGATCTACTGTTTGACCTTGAGAGAGCTGGTCTAATTGGGAATTACTCATTAAGCTTCCATTAAAAACTGTGTGTTATCTAGCAAAGCCTAAAATTTTCACAGACAAAGATGTATATTAGAATACTTTCCATTTTAGGCATTGGCTGTATGAATTCTTTTGGAAAGTACTTCACTACGCTTAATACTAAATCACCTCTAGACACTTCTCACATTTCCGCTAAAATAGCTAGTCAAGTAAACTTCCCAAAATAAATTCAGTCACCAAGCTTTTATGAAAAAACAGAATACTTTTACTATCATTATTTCTAATTTCCTTTTTATCATGAATGCATTTTATTAGTCCTTGTATTATCAAAAAGCAAATCTAATGAAGAATTTGGGAAGATGCTAATGAAATGACATCACAAAAAGAGTTATATGCATTTTTTTTTCCTGCATCTCAGAATTTAACTGTCAGTTCCATGCAAAAGGTTTAAAGTGCTTTCCTTTCCCCTCTGCACAGTGTCAAAACACCAAGCTTGCAGCCTGTTGTATTCAGGATGGAACTCAGAGGAGGAGGAGGGGAGACAAAAAGCACCTCTGATTACTGAGCCATTAGAAACCCCCCTTCCAAGGACTCCCCAAACAAAGTGAAGCTAGAAGAGGGCTTCTCAAGCCTCCGTGTTTCACAGGGAGCTTTGGCTTTTGCGAGGTAACCCTTTCACTCTGATTTCCCTTTAACGAAGCAGGTGAAAGGCCATTTGGCACCAGCCAATTCATTTTACTCCAGCTGCTAGTGAAGAGCGCGGTTGCCAGGCAACCAAGTCTCTGGCTCTCTGTGCCTACATCAGGCTGGGAAATTTGGAGTTTTTTGAGGCCGTTATCTGTTGCAGACAACTTACACTGAAATGCCTTTAGGTTTTTATGACTGTTTTTTAATTCCTTACAGTAAAACTGTATTATCCTTCCTGATTTTCTCTTTTGGGGAAGAGACTATTTAGAGAGTGTATGGCTATATTTCCACAGGAAAATATCCAGACCTTGATTTCAGAATCAGAAGTAATTTACATTTTAAAAGAAAAGCAAATGAACATCACAGCTGCATTTCGTATGTTCCTTCCTGCCAGTTTAATTTCTTTCCTTTTCTTTCTTCTTCCCTTCTTTCCCTTTTAAAATTTTTTATTTGCTTTCCTCTCTTTTCTTCTTCATTTCACCCACTTTGATGTAGGTTTGTTTTATCTTTTTCTTTCTTCCTCTCTCCAGTAATATGAACTCTGCGTTATTATGCATTCATCTTTAATCAACTGCTCATTCGTTAGTTCAGGGAATTTGAAGTGAGCCATGTTTTTCTTTATAACCTCTGTGGTTGATATTTTCTTCTAACTTCTGAACTCCTTTTATTTCTATTTTAACCTGTGGCTAGAGAGGGTTAGATTCCTTGGGTAGCACAAATGGTTGAGCACTTGACTACTAACTGAAAGGTTGGCAGTTTGAACCCACCCAGAAGTACCTTGGAAGAAAGGCCTGGCAATCTGCTTCCAAAAGCTTACAGCCTTGAAAACCTTATGGTACACAGTTCTACTCTGAAACAAATGGGGTCCAACTATGAGTCAGAATCGACCTTATGGTCACTGGTTTTTGCTTTGAAGGGAGGGTTATGGGGAAATAACTGACAAAGTATTCCAAGCTGTCATTTGAACTCGTTTTGTTCCTAACAGAGAAACCTACACCATTGTATAGTGGCCTCCTATGCACATAGCATTAGCCTGGAAGCCACAGAGTTCTCCAAGGTATTTTGATCCTACATCAACATACGGCATATTCTTACATATTTAATGCTATGAACATATTTCATTGAGTGCCATTCAATTTCAAAAGACATGAAAAGAATATGCTTCTTTTTGTTCTTTATTTCAGACTCTGGCAGTGACTTAGAATAAATGAGAGCAAATTGGTCTGGCTATGCTCCTATCATCAGTGCTGAACTCGTACTGCAAAGGGAAACACCTGGTAATGATCAAAGAAAAAGGATTGAAGTGCTCTCGGAAGGATGAACACTAAAGACAGCGCATTTCAAACATGGGCACCCTCTGGTGATCTCTCCCCAAAACGTGGTATTTATTTATCACTATGAGGTAATATTACATGGATTTTGATTTATTTATTCACCAAGGATTTATTATAATATGCAAGTGGAGCTACTCATTATTATTATCTGAAAAATCAATTGTTACAGATAAATTCATGTAAAAACTCTAAAATATAAAAATGGAGTTGGTAATACATATACTGTTGTGATTTTGAATGAGTAGATATGCAAACAATCACATATATTTCTGGAATTTATGAGTAAAATCCTAGTCACCTTTTATGACTCAGTATTGTGATCTTCCATGTTTGCTGTGAAAAACGAAATGAGGGTTAAATCATTTTCAGTGAGACAAAGTCAGGGTACTCTACTATGGTAGACCAGAAATCAGGAGATATGGATTTTAATCTGAGCTTGTTCCCTAGCTAGCTTTTTGACTTTAGGTGATTCCCTTAATTTTGATCTCAATTCCCTCTTCTGTAAGTTGAGAGGTTGAAATAGGTGTTCTCTGAGATCACTTCTACTGTTAAAATTCAATTATCGAATTTGAGAACTATTAAACCTTTCAGTGAATCTGACTTAGGAAAGGGACAATATAACTTTTTTAGTTGGTAACAGTTTTTAAGTGAAAAAAATATTTAAGCTTTCTTGTATTTGCTAATTGAGGTATTTTTTCCTTAGTCTTGCAGGTACAAAATTTGTAGGTGTTCTTGACTCTATAAAACCCGTTGCCATCAAGTCGATTCTGACTCATAGCGACCCTGTAGTACAGAGTCAAACTTCCCCATAGGGTTTCTAAGGAGCAGCTGGTGGATTTGAACTGCTGACCTTTTGGTTAGCAGCCACCAGTGGTTAAAAGAACAATCTTTGAAGACTGCCTACACTTTACATCCATAGGTTACTAGTTGTGGAACATGAGAAAGTTCCTTAACCTCTCTGTGCTCAGTTTAGTCATCTGTCAATAGGGACTGACAGTCATACCCATCTCATAGCGTTACTGTGAAGATTGAGATGATTCACATAAGTCCTTAGCAAATGACTAGTGCGTTAACTTGTTCTTGATACCTGTGAGGTTTTACTATCACTCTGGCGTCACCTGCTATCCCAGGCTATTAAATTCTCTCCTTTTAAAGTCTATTCTATACCCTTCTCCCAGCTTAGACTGCACAAAACACAGTTATTATTTCCATCTTCTGCTAAAAACTACAACAGACTTCAATGAAGCCCATGCTGAATAGAATTGAGTATAAATTCCTTAGCTTGGCATTCAAGGCTCTCATTAATATTGGTTCAGTTTATCTTCCCAGCTTCATTCCATAACTTTCCCATAAATGCTCTGGCTGAAGGGAACAATCTAGATATCCCAGACAACACGTGCTTTAAGTTTAAGTTTTTAAGGACAGAGGTTGTGATAGGTCTTTATACCCCAGGTCAACTCAGGACTTGCCACACAGTAGGTGTTTAAATATTTGTTGAACTGAACAGCTTTTTCTCATACTCTTTTCTTCCTACAAGTCCTCTCTTATCTTTACCCATATAACACTTAATTCTTCAAAGTCCTATCCAAATATCATGGGTGTCCACCATTCAAAATCTACCTACTTCCTCTCATAGTACTACCATGAATCTATCTTACCGAAAAAAGACACCAAACCCCTTGCTGTTGAGTTGATTCCGACTCTTAGCGACCCTATAGGACAGAGTACAACTGCCCCATAGGGATTCCAGGGAGCACCTGGTGGATTCAAACTGCGGACCTTTTGGTTAGTAGCTGAACTCTTAACCACTACGCCACCAGGGTTTCTATCTTAGAGCCCTTATATTCTGCTCTGATTGTAATTCTTTTTGTCATTAATTTATGCCCCATTCATGGAATGGCTTTGACAGTGGTGTTCTATGCCTTATTAAATTTTATTTCCTACATTGCCTAGCATTTTGCTTTGACTGTGTTAACTGCCAGTGGCTAATTGTTGAATGAATGAATATGACTAACGGAATAATATTTACTATCTATTGTTTTGTCACCTTTTTCTTAAAACTCTCCTATTTCCATCGTATCAAATCCATTCTCCTGCCAGGCTTCAAAGTCTCTCCACTGTCTAGCCACAACCTCTCTATCTAACGTAACTTTTGGTAACGTATATACTCTGTCTTCTGAAGTCAGACTGGTCTCATTATTCTATGAATATGCCATATTCATTCCCATCCCTCTTTCTTCCTTGATGTTTCCTTTGCCTGAGGGAAATTCTTTTCAGCTATCCAAGTCTTATTTTTGGTCCCATCTCAGTTCCTAAATTCTCCATGTAGCACTCCAAGGTGACTTCTACAATGTTTCTTCTCTTTCATTACTGGAAAGAGAAATTTATGCACTTAATGTAGCACCTAATCATATAACTCAGTCATCCACAGACCCCAGAACAATGAAACTGGGAAGGAATGTAAAAGTGCTATATTACATAGGAGCCCTGGTGCCACAGTAGTTAACAGCTTGGCTGCTAACCAAAAGGTTGGCAGTTCGAATCTACCAGACTCTTCTTGGAAATCCTTTGGGGCAGATGTATTCAGTCCCATAGGTTCGCTATGAGTCGGAATCGACTCATCGGCAACGGAATTTGGGTTTTTTTTTTGGTATTTCATAACCCAGAAATTCTGATCTGGAAATCTGTGACTAGTTCTACATCAAGAAGTGAGTCCTGGTGGCACAGTGGTTAAAGCGCTCGACTGCTAACTGAAACATAGGCAGTTCGTACCCACGAGAGAAAGATGTGGCAATCTGCTTCTGTAAAGATTTCAGCCTTGGAAACCCTATGGGGCAGTTCTACTCTGTCCTGTAGGGTCACTGTGAGTCGGAATCAACTGGACTACAGTCCACTCTGTAATTCCTTACTTCCTCCTCACTAGTTTATCTCTTATATTATCTATGCAAATATCATTCTTGACTGCTTTTTTTGGTAAGATATTTAAGCATGTTTTTATTCTTCTGAATTACCTCCAGCAAATAATATTGCCTTACATATGGTAATTGCTGATTACATTTTAATTCAATAGGAAAATATTGCTTAAATTTGTGTCCTGCTTTTTCATGTGATTTAGTCCTTTTAACTAAACCAGTTAAATGATTAGGTCCTGAGGGACAGTGGTCAACTCTTATTCTTCATTTGTATATCCCACATTATTACCTCTCAGTAACTAAGGTAACTTAAGCTGTTTTTTTGTTTTGTTTTGTTTTTGGGGGAAAAGTCTTAAACAAATACATCTTCTGGGTAGGTACACCGAGTAGGATAGGATTTGCACTCTACTGTACATTCATACACTTTTCTCCTCTTGATTAAAGATGAAAATAGGAGCTACTGTAAATATTTATGAGTGGCCTATATTAAGAGCAGTGTGTTACACCTTTTACATGAATCATCTACTCAGAGCTGCCAGGTGTAGAGGTTGTCACTTAGGACGAGAAACCAAACTGAAAATAACCATCAAGTCTTTATTCAATTACAATTATTCAATTAGCAAGAGACCACGAAGGAAAGGGTACCATCTTCCCCAGTGTTCCATTTTTCCTCACAGAATGGCACTGGGTGAGGTTCAGGTGGGGCCTCTCACTGCTGAGGGAGCTCCAAACAAAAGTTCCTGTAGTTTGATGGATCCAGGGGCCAGAGGGGAGGTAGAGGGAGAAGAGCTAGGAGTGAAACAGCCCTGAGACAGAGTGGAGAAGAGTAATTCAGTCAAGGCCACCCAATAAGGAGGTGTTGGCAGAGGCTTCTGGGCTCCCCCGTAAGGAAGCCTCCAGATGGAGATGCCTGGGTTAGGAATGCTGACATGCGTAAGAGCGTGAGGGGAAAAGGGGGAGAATGGGGTGCTAAATCCCTGACTCTAACTCCCTCCAGAGACTGCAGTGCACTCAGTGTGCACGTCTAGGGCAACTTTCTCCTGTGAGGTCTGCCAGGTAAAGCTTTGTTATTGCCTATGGTTGTGCCTGAAGGAACACACTTAGGATTTTGACCTGGAGTCTGACTCCTCATTATCTAGCATAATGCTGGTCACACTGTAGAATTTCCACACACGAACAATATTCACTGATAGGTGGAGCCTAGACTGCAAAGTGGCCTACTTCATTTTAAATTCATTTTCGAATACATGACACTGTAACTTCATTCTGTTTTTCCTGGTCATTGGTTCTAAGTTACTGTCACCCTTAGGGTTTTTCCTGATCTATTTGCTTTATAGGGTTGCTATGAGTCGGAATCAACTTGACAGCAACGGAATTTGTTTCTGATTTACTGTCATACTTACTGGACCTCTCAGTAACTAAGGCAGCTGAAGCTGTTTTTTTGTTTTGTTTTTTTTTGGGAAAAGACTGAAACAGATACATCTTCAGGGTAGGAACACCGGGTAGGATAAGATTTGCACTCTACTGTACATTCATACACTTTTCTGCTCTTGGTTAAAGATGAAAATAGGAAGTATTGTAAATGTTTATGAGTGGCCTATATTAAGAGCAGTGTGTTACACCTTTTACATGTACCATCTAATTTTATCTTCCCAACAAGTTTATATAGTAGGTGGTACTAAGCTATTCTGATAGACATGAAAGTTAATGCTGAGAAAGAAGTGATTGATTCAAGGAATTTTCCCCACTCCTGATCTCAGGTCTGTCTGACTTCTAGGCCCCTGTCGATAGAAGACGGTAAGACGATGGTTCTCCCACTTCAGTGTGCAGAAGAATCGCCTGAGGAACTTTTTAAAATACAGATTACTGGGCTCTACCACCAGAATATTCCAATTTGTTAGGCTTAGGGCCTAGGAATCTATATTTTAACAAACACAAAGGATTTACTTCGAAAAATTTTGAAATAAAGAATAGTTGAAATCTTAATAGTAATTATAATAACGACAACAAGCACACAACACATGGATCAATACCACACCAACAACCATTTACTACACCAACTTACTGTTGTTCAGATAGTATGCTAATAGAATTTTCTCTGTTGGGAAAATTAATAGGGCCCTTGAGCAAAATAATGAAGACTGAATGGCCACTGT